ACGCTAAATTCTTGCCTGATTTAGGAAGGATTAAATTATTTTATCTGCCAAACTCCAAAACAACACTTTCTCCATACTCTTAAGCATCTAAGATTCTACCTGATGGCCTATTTTAAAACAAACAAAGGAAAAAAACCCAGAAAGGCTTTCTGATATGAGAAGTGAAATAGCACAGCAGTGGCTCTTAAGCAACTGCTTATGCACAGGCTTTTAACCCAAACTCAGGGAAAGATGGAGTTACTTGCTCTTAATAGCAGGTGAACTTCAAATTACCTGACTTTTCTTTGAGTCTATGGAATTTATAAGTATCAACTTGCTAATTCTCTGCCCATACACATACCATCTTGCTTTTATAGCACAAGGTAGTTCATGGTGATTCAGCCTTAAATGAAAGAAAAGTAGGACCTTCAAAACACTTTAGTTTACTAGACGTAAGATCCATAGGCAGAATTAATAGGGAAACTGTTTGCCAGCTCAAGCTCTTTATGCTGTGATAAATTATGAGGTTCATTTTGTTTTAATGAGGATTAGCTCTCTCCATTTACCTCATTCTTATAACTGATCAAGGATAAACATACAGTTATTTTGCAGTATGTCCCACACCTCTTAACAATTTTATGTATCCGACCTCCCAGTCCAGGTGCTAAAGGAATCTTCATGATGTCCTACCCAAAGTTAATGGGGTGGTCTAGTAATTTTGCCTTCTTTTTTCCCCCGAAGTCTTCATTTAAATTCACAAAACAAGAACTCCTGAATAAAGCTACAATCTTAATTCAACATATTGTGAGAACCCTTCTCTTGCTATCATAGCTGAGCCTATTATGCTAAGATAAATGGGCCTTTGAAAATAATTGGAAACTGGACCCAGCTCAAGTATGTTTGGAGTGTGCTCTGGCTATTGATTCACTAGTTTTGGACAGTGTTCCGAGGTACATGGCTGTTACTCTGTATGACACTGCATATCTATCTGGCTCAGAAGTTGAAGACTCTGGGCAGATTTTCTGATAACACAGCTGATTATATCTGTAGACTTCTAAATCAAACCTGAACACGATAGGGGGCTGCCTTGGATAAGGGATTTTCTCAGATTCTGTTCAATCTAATCTTGCAGGAAAGACTGTAGCAAAGCTACTGCCATAAAGAAGAGTTTTAGAAAATGCAAGCTCATAGCCTAAACGGATAGTAGATAAATGAGCTGATCAGCTTCAGAGCAGCAGTAAACAGAACAAGTGGATATTTATTCTAGAGTAAGAAATGAATATATAGATCTGCTGCATTGTAATGGTCTAGCTAACAAGAGTCAGACAGGAATACTAAGAAAATAAAGCAGCCCTAGAGTTAGAAGACTGAATTTCTATCCAAATAACAAACATCATGGTTAAAATCAACCCTATTCAACAAAAGTAGCTACCACAAAAAGGCTATCCATCAGTAAGAGCTAAGTATATGAAAATGTTATTTACTTCATTGAGAGTAGCATATGCTCAGAACCTCAGAAGATTCATTCCAATACAATAGTGCAACTGATTATAAAGCAAATATACATTACACTAAATAAACCAAGGCAAGAGACAAAATTATTTTGAAGTGCTTTTTGCCTGTGATTTTATGAAAGGAGATTGCTTATTCTTAGGAATTAGAAATCGAATATTCAATTTAAAAATTACAGAACCATATATCTGTTTATGGACCAAAGTCAGAGAGGAACATGGATTTTATTAGGAACAAGGATTTTTAAAAATATTAATTCCTTTTTGCTTTCATCTAACTTCCTCCTCACCCCTTTTCTTTACTTTCTTCTCTAAAATCTTCTTCAAGTTTACCAGGCCTTGCACTGAAGAACAGGTATCACATAGTTTTCTCTTATTTTACTTTTCAAAACTCAATTGGAATCAGGAGTTAAGAGTCTCACCTTGTAACAGAAAGGGCCAAGTCCACAGATAGTCTAAATTGGCCTTTCACCATTAATAAGGTAAAGGTGATGTATGCTGACTCTCAATTGCCAGATCTTATCTGGTAAAAATAATTTTGCTATCTGCATGCAGGGAATTTGATGGGAAAAATCAAAGGAGAGAAAGAGCCGGGGGAAAAGGAATGGAAGAAAGAAAAGGAAAACCAACAACAGGTTCTTTACTGAAATTAAAATTTACACTTCAGGAGTGTGACATTTTCTTACTTTTAGATCTGTTTTTCTATTTGCAGCAAAGTCAATGACGCCAAAAAGAACCACTTCGTATGCTATGCTAGTATCATATCAATCTATAGGGGAAAAAGCAAACAAGATCAGCTTTATGCTTATTTTCAGAGATAAACCATACAGAACTACTGAATCCTGGGGAGGAGGGAAAGAAATAGAAGTTTCACCAAAAGATATATAGCACATTATATGTTATGTACACAGTATTCTTGAAGTAGTTGAAACACATTTTTCTCTAAGAACTATGAGAACTGTGAGGTGGCTTTTGTGTGTTTTTTAGGTTTGAGCTGGTTTTATGTCTCTTTCCTTTTTACAAAAAATATACATATGCCCATGTGTAGATTCATACACTCATATGCATACGGTCATTTAGTATATAAATATTTATAAATATTTTTAATAATGCAAAAGTTCAAGCAGAGATTGTACTTCCCATAAAAGTTCTGAATCATAACTCATCTTTTGGACCAATCTGAATTATACTGTGGTTTTTTGAAAACAGAGTAGTAAATTACAATATTGTAACATATTGTGGTTCTTGATTTTTACATCAACACACTTAAATATTGTGCATTCACATAAACTTACATCTGTAGTCAGAGGTTGGGAAGCTTGAATTCTGGATTTCTATTGAACTTCTAACATTGTACTGTATGCAGGTTGCCAAATAATGGTATTTCATTTTAATGTAAATAAAATACTGCTTATTTGTAATTGGCTATCCAAGAGAAAATGAAGAAGAAGATGGAAGCAGAAGCAGCAAGTAGACAAGCAGATGTAGATGTGCACTTGGATACCAGATCTCTGGATAGCAAAGGAGCATACAGTACCCAGCACCTCAAAGATAAACAGCTTGGAAAATACTATCAGGAAAGCACTGTACTAAAGTGTTACATCAGGCAACACGCTAATGCTCTCAAAAAGGGATGCACAGGAGTTCAACTCTCTCTAACACCTCCTGTCCAGATCAACCACAGAAGAAGCAAGTCGGGCAATCTTAAAATTATCTGTATGTCAGTAGTACCGAGTCTTTGGAACAAACCCAAATAATTTCTGTGGTGGAAGCTAGTTTTGCCTTTGCAACTTACTGTGAAACCCCAACTACACAGAAACACAATGATGATGAAGCCTGGTAAGCAGCAGATGCTAACAATGCCAGACTGGAAATGATGAAGTTAAGCAGTTCGGCCACTTAAATTTCACAACGGATGGTGATGTTCCAGTAACGAATAGATGCTAGAGATTCACAATGGCTTATTCAGCATCCACATACACCGAATAAAGAGACTTGAAAAAGAAACACACACAACCACAAAAGCCAAGCTGGTAGAAGCACTGATTTGGGTAATTGTTATAGGTAGATGAATATGACAATTCAATGCGTATGAAAAGCTGGACCCAGATGGCAGTAGGTAAGAAAAGATCATAGCATTTACTATGCGCATAGCTGTCAGCGATGTAAGGACAGATCAATCCATTTATATCAGGAAAATGGAAGAGGATCTTTTCACTGCTGTGGGAAGATCAAGGTATTAAAATTACATGCGTACATAAGGCAAGAAGCGAAGACCAGTTTCAGGGCAGACATAGGAACATTTAAGCAACTCCTTTTAGGATTGCATACATGACTTCAGAATGTTTGATCCAAGAAAGCCTAGCAAATGTTTAAGACCTTCTATAATGCTTTGCAAAAATTGAAATGTTATGTAGTTGAGAACATTTGCTTTGACTTCTGATATGTTTGAGGAAGGCCAGTGATTTCACTGGGGAATCTTATGGATGGAATGAAGGGCACAAGTTAGTCATCTTAACAATCTTCGTACTTGATTGGGCTTAAACAATGAAAGGGTGCTTTTTCAAAACCACTTCTGCAAACAATCTTATTTCAAGTATCTTGGGCCTCACAAATCACCATCGTTTTGAGAACACACTCAGGAGAGTGAAACATGTTATACATTTACATACATATGGTCTGTATTTGAGTTAGAAGGTAACAAAGGTGTTGTGGGGTTAATATTAGGGTGATTAGTTAAAAAACCCCCAAGAAAATCACGAAGAGCAGCAACTGTTACTGCTTGGTTCAAGTAATCTCCCAGAGGCACAGAGTCCAACATTAGGAGAAGGAATGAAAAAATAGTTCAAAAATATGGGAAACTCATTGTTTATAATATTACTGCTGCTGCATATTCCTGCCTTTATTTCTAAAAAAGACTGTGTGTAAAAAGTTTGTGGTATTCACTGGAAATAACTGATATAACTGGGAATTAGAGTATATAATCATTGTGCTTGCCAATAGTATTTGAAAACAGCACGTGCATCAAAAGTTTAAATATTTTGCTGGCCTTCCAGAGTTTTTGCTAAACCTAGTGTGCATTGGAACCTGAGTGAATGAAATCCCATTAGTCATCACCATCTTAACAATATCCACTTCATACAGTGCTGGCTTCTGCACAGAGGAAGGAAATTACCAGTACTAACAAAGGAAAGAAGATTTATAATGAGCAAATATACAAAAGCTCTAAATAATTACAATATTCACAGTTTGGCAATGACTTCCTAGGCTATGAAATTACTTTTCTTTGGGAAGAATGAAGATTTTACAAGGTTAGTATAAACAAAGGGTAATTGGAAAATCAAATTGCTCTATGCAAGTTATTGTAAGGTCTGAAAAAATGGAGATAACATTTTAAAAAGCTTGCTTATGAAACACTATATTTTGATTTGTACGTTATTGCCATCAAAAATGCTCCCTTTCAAGTGCTACATGGGAAATATATATGGCTAAATACTAATACCAGCTTACCCCTGATACAATAAGTTCTCCACCCAGGTTCTGAACTTCTGCCTTCACTTTGCTGCAGATGTTGAGTTGGTGGCAGTAGAGGGCAATACGCTGCAGGTAGGCCAGTAGATCCTGTTTGCAGGCTGAGTCCGGGCACTACAGACAAAAGAAACATTTGAATAGATGTAGCTGAGTTTATTTGATTATAGAAAGGGAATCAGAGGAGATAGTGGCAATGTGTGTATATTAGGTGAATCCATTTCACTTCATATATACATTAAATACTTGATGAAAGGTGAAAATTCAAACTCTACCTTTCATTTAACTGAAGATTGGTGAATTGTAACCTCAAGATGCACTATATCTGTTTGTAAAAAGAAGAAATCTCTCTGTCAGCCACTAATGAAAGGCAATGAAAATAACATGATTGCTATGTTTGAGATTCACTTATGGTATCAGTTTGTACAGAACAATCTATTGAGCAGCTGAAAGACCCAAGTTTGATGTGAAACTCCAGGCTGTCTGCTGGGTGTTGAGGTTAAGTTCAAGTCCACATAAGCCCAGTTCTGACTGATTACATCCAGTCTAGTGCCAACTCCTGACTGTCTTGCCAGGTTCCCTGGTATTTGCGCAGACCTTCAGAGGACACAGCAGAAGCCAGGACCCTTTCTGACATGCTAAGGACTCAAGAGGCAGAGGTGAGGCTGCTTGAGTTTGGTATTGACAGATTTGGTAAGCTTACTGTTAATGCATAAATATCTTAATTTGTGCCAGAAGGATATTACTTAGTGAAGTGTGACATACTTGTCCTGGGTTCAGCTACAGCAGTCATTTTTTCTCCTTCTCAGTAGCTGGTGCAGTGCTGTGGTTTTGACTTTCAGTCTGGGAACAACGCTGATAACACCGATGGTTTTAGTTATTGTTCAATAATGTTTACTCTGACCAAGGACTTTCTCAGTCTCATGTTCTGCCAGGGAGGAGGGGAAGCCAGGAGGAAGCAGAGACAGGACACCTGACCCAAACTGGCCAAAGGGGTATTCCATACCACAGCACGTCATGCCCAGCATATAAACTGGGGGGAGTTACCCGGAAGGCCCAGATCGCTGCTCGGGTCGGGCTGGGTATCGGTCGGCGGGTGGTGAGCGGTTGTGTCCTTTTCCCTTGTTATTCCTCTTATCATTATTATTGGTAGCAGTAGTGGTTTGTATTATACCTTAGTTACTGGAGAGCTGTTATCTCAACCTGTGGGAGTTACATTCCTTCGATTCTCCTCCCCATCCCTCCGGGAGCGGGGGGAGGAAGGAAAAGGGGGGGAGTGAGCGAGCGGCTGCGTGGTTCCAAGTTGCCGGCTGGGCTTGAACCGCGACAATACTACAGGCTCTTAGCAGATGACATCAGTATTGCAGCCCTTCTGAAGAACACAATGAGATGAATTGGTCCCTCTGCATGTCTAATGGATACCTTTTCATAATAGAGGGAAGGTTATCTACAGTCCTGTACCATTTGGATGCTGTGCATCTCAAATGTGGTTTGGTACAAGTCACATTAGGTCAAATGTGGTAGACTCAGTGAAATTTTTATAATCAATATAACTAGAAAAGGCCCAAGTACAATTTATTTATAGTCTCTTGGACCCTTAATAGAAACTGCATCATCTCCTGCAATATCAACAGCATAATAAACAACACTGCCATAGTTAACATTCAAAGTCTTGCCTCAAAAGAGCAGACCTCAGTAATTCACTCTGATGAAACATTGTGAAAAGGGTCTATTGCTAACAGTATGTCTCCAATAAATACGCTTTGGGGCTACCCAACAAAGTCTGACCGACAATGTTCTTTGACTGTAGAGCCTGGGGAACAAAGATATTGAGTAGGTCTTTTTAGCACCTTACAAAGTTTATGCTCAATTTTTGTAAAATATTATCAGAGCACTTCAAAACAACCTGATGGAATTATACACTCATGAGTCAACATAATCACTGCCTCTGACTTGAGGTGACTGCTCTAGCCCCAACAGCTAATGCTGGCAAGAAATATGTTTGCAGTGAAGTAGTTGCATATGTTGTCATCTATAACCCTGAATGCAGTCACTTTGCTTTTTTTTGTCCCTGTAAAACTAACAATAAACAAAGCCAGAGGTTCATTGTGGCTGTTAGGTTTAATCTGCTCTATACTTATGGTAATGCTATAATGCCTTTTTTCTCAGCTGACACATCTTTCAGGCATGAATCCTTACGAGACCTTCTCCCTGCTGGTGACAATTTAATACAGAAATATTTACCCTACTCTTGAAGTCTATGAACTGAAAGAAATGAACTTTAAATACTTCTAGAGAGCTGACAAGGCTTTAAATACAAGTACCTTGGAGCGAAAGAAAATGTAAGATCTCTCTCACTGGAACAATAATTAAAAATGCAACTGTCCGTAAAAAGTTTATATTGCATGAGTGTCTCCAAAGTTCTGCAAAATATCATTAAAGTGCAAGCATTAAAACAAATACTTCATTCTCAGTAATTTTACTCTTTATGATGAAAGTGTGCATGTTACAGTCTTCTGAAACCTAAAACGTGACTCAAGCCAATGCACTCTAAGCATAGCGAGTCACTTCGCATTTCTTTCTTTAAAATATTCTACCTCTGCAAATGGTGTAGACAAGGAATTTCATCAGCTGACAGATGGATTTCTTCTTTCTTATGCTAAAATGAACAGACGCTACATTTGAGGGACTGGAATGGGTTAACTACAGGAAAAGTGCTTGCTGATAATGAAGAAATCCTAGCCCCCAAATTTCTGAGGTTATAGGAAAATGGGCAGCTTCAGGTTTCTTGTCACTCTGGCCCATGTTCCCTGGCAGGATGTGTTACACATCATGAAATGCTTACTTGAAGAAGAAAAGAAATGCTTATTTTGAAAAGAAAGACAAGGGGCAAGGAAGCTATCAGTTCCCACTTCCAGCAAAATTTCTCCTGATGACAACTGAAAGGAAAGAGACTATAGGAAGTTTACAAGGGAAAAAATAGTTAGATTTAATTTGCCTAAGTCTAAAATTAGCTACCTAGAAACTAGATTTGAAATTTGGCTCTTGATTTTTCATATGATGCTTCCAGATGGAGAGAGAATCTAATCTGCAAGAAAGGGGCTGAATATAGCAAGTTTATCTTTCCAGTTGTGACATGAATTTGGGGTTGAGGATACAGCCTCTAGAACATGGAACAGCTGAAAGCACAGTGCAAAGCGGAAGCAAGGGAGTCAGGTAATCTTGAATCTTGAAAAAGAAGAGTGCCATATCAAGGGAAATTGCTGGAAGAATGAGCTGGAAAGAATATAAGGATACACAGGCATATGGCAAGAGTAACAGAGCAACCAAATCTCTACTGCTTTCATGACAGCAAATATATGTCTAATTCTAATACAATCACCTGGGTCCAGAAGTAAGCCTGTGGAACAATTCTGAGTTTTAAATAAACTCATTTATGACTTTCCTGTACTGCAAAACCCATGCTGATCGGTGTATAAGAAAGAACTTATATCCAATAGGTAGATCAATATCCAGGCAGTGACTTTCAACAGGTAATTTTCTGCCAAGTAAAGATACCTTTTCCTGCAAAAGGCAACTCATTGATAGAGGTTACATTATATATCTGCTCATTTTTGTTATTACCTGATCAGCTACAGCCCGTGCCAATTTGTCCATCCTTGATCCTGCCTCTGCAATCTTCTTGGCTGCATTAATGACATCTGATGTATTCTTCAGGGGGCCTTTACCTCTGTGAAATGCAATACAATTATGCACAATCTAAATAAATCATGAAAGGCAACAGTTTTAGTGACCCTGTTTAGTGTTTGATTTTAAAATAGTAACACGAATGACTTCTTAATTTATTACAATTTCACCTTTTAACTACTTTACAGTACAGCTTGATTAAGAAATCGGCCTGATATATTTCCTCCCTCCTACAAAATGCCTCACTAGCAATTTAATCTGATGGCACCTTCAAGCACATGAGCCATACTTAATAGTAGATGCATTTTTAAGTGCTCATTAAGCCAACATTCTTTCTGGAATACACAACTATTTCAAAATCATGTTATTCCCAAGCCAGTGCTAAATGTTAAGCCTGTCATGTCTAGAGCAAGAATGTCACATTTTAGAAAACCTTTTTTAGTCAATTTTTGTCAGAAAAAAAGATATGTGAAGCATAATCCTTATGTTACACTTAAATGTTACACTTAAACCATGTATAATTAGCTTTAAGATCAATCTTTCAGTATACTTTAATGACGATGCACAAAACTCTGATTTTAGTCATTAAAGTTACCAACATGTATCTAGACAAATAATAAAAAAGTCACTGCAGACAGAAGTTTGCTTCAGACTCAAAACTTTACTCCTGTCTGTAATAGTACATTTGCTACTGCTCCTGAGAATGGCTTAGTTGGAAATGAATTGATTTTCCTTATTATTTTTTTCTTACACTATGTGGAGAAAGGCAGCTTCAAACACCTTAAACAGATACTGAAATACAACAAGTATCCCACTTCTGTTGAATTTAAACTGTAGGAAAAATCCTTCATAGTGACCTCAGAAGCTTCTACATTAATCACATCAGCAGATCTGACTGTCACAAACTGTTTGCATTTGAAAAATTATTCTATTTTAACAGTGCTGAGGTTACAGTCAACCAAAAAGGTGTGAAAGGCTTTGTTCTGTTTCAATGGAATATTAAACAAGCTTTTATTGAATCTGATGTAGACAGAGGTACTCTTTGATTTATTTTTCTTTAATTTACTTCAATGTGACAGTAGTTTTCACTCATTCTCCTATTAGTTCTGTTCTTTTGATGGTAGAAAATGTAATTACAAAACTTTCAATTTGATGTTCAATGTATCAGAGATTATTCAAAATTACAAAAATTGTTCATATTCTGGGCTGCTGCTTTAGAATGTTATATTTTCCTTCCATGAAATGATGGCACTGTTTGGACAGTTTTTCACTCTGGTTTTGGGCAGAAGGATTGGCAACCCACAGAAAATACAACTATGAAAGTAATTAAGATTCATCTAAAATATCACCTTTACAAGGGATTCTACATGATCATTTCCTATACAGGAGTGGTGAGTCTACCACAAAAAGAACAGTTGTAAAAGCACAAACTGAGGGAAAAATGCTGAGAGAATAATTACTCTAGAAAGAAGTCTCATAGTAATCTATTAATGTAAGCAAACTTTCTAGATGCATAATTAAATTTAAAACAGATAAAAATGTTTGCTATTGCCTGTCACCAATTAACTATACAGGTGCAAATAGTCAAGCTACTTGCAAGTTGATGGCATTTAAATATCTATCTATCTATATATCTATCTATATATCTATCTATCCACCTACCTACCTATCTATCTATGTGGTATGCGTGAAACCTATAATGTCAATGCAGAGACTGTCTCCTCTGAAATGGGTTGAAGGCTCCTCCAGACACAGGGCATGTGATCAGCTGGAGATTAAGAAATCTCTTTGAGCATCCCAATGAGATGAATAAATGAATGTTTCATTTTAATTCTGAAGAAAAACATGAAGATTTTTGTCCAGTTTTGTCTAATCACATTTTTGATAAGTACCATTTAAACTTTTGAACTCCCCTTAAAGATAAACACTGAAAAAATGTTAATTTATTATGATGATCTGCAATTCAAAGAATCTTCTAAAATGTTCTCCCTGGTGAGACAGACAATATGACTATATTTAAACAAAAGAATTCTGTTTATATGAGATCATTAATGAACGGCCTTTCGATGCTTTGCAATTAGGAAAGAACAAGACATCAACAGAGAAAAGAAATGAAAGCAAAAAAATCATTACTGTCAGACTCCAATAAGGTATTAGATCAAACCGGTTTTATTTCATTTGGGATTTTTTTTTCTAAAGGAGTTCAGCATTCAAAATTATATAAATAGTTTTGCCATTATTTTTGATTGACACAAATTGTATTGAAATGTTGAAAGTTCAGAGAGGCACATGCATTTATATGGGTACTAAACCTATGTCAGTTGAGTGTCTATAAGTTCACAAACTATCTTTGCTGCTGAAATTCAAGATGATCTGCAAACAAAACAGGTTTGCAAATGAGAGAAAAACTTCACGTGATTAATCCCTTTTGGAGAAGTATCCAGAGCAGTCACGTGTAGAGAATTGTACAGCTCAACCTGCTATGTATGTGTGTTACCTGGCTTTGCATCCCCCCAAACACAGCACGTCATCTTAATAGCAAAGAAAAGATAGGGGATGTCTAAAGAAGTCCTCAGCACAGGTTATTTTGTCCTTACCTAGTAAAGTCTGTCATTTCCATCATAATCATGCACATCTGCTTTGCCAGCACAATGATGTCATTACCACTGTCATCCCACTTGGCCACCTCCGCATCCAGTTTGCTCTTTTCTTGGTGGAATATCTCTACCTGCTCAGCAATCTTAGCCTTCTCCTCCTGGGGAAGCTGAGCCATGATAGCCTGGAATAAAAAAGGAAGATAGGGATGATAAAAACAAAGTTAGAAACTATACATTTCTAGTTGACCAAATGGCATGTCCAGCTTCTAGTTTCTCTCTATGGGAGTTGAAGATGCCAAGGAAAATCCATTAGTAATTTGATTTCTGTTAGGACAATCCAAAACAAATTCAGAGGATGCTTATAGCTCTTTTTATACCTTAAAGAATTAAAAAATTATATATGTGATGCCATGATATACAGATTATTCACCGATGAATACATGAAAATTAAAGAAAATTCCTACTAAATCTTAACTTTTAGGCAAAACTAAATGAATGACATCTATGGGAAAAGGCAGACTAAATTGCCAGTGTCTCCCCCAGTCTCATTCTCTGTCAGAAACAGAACTTTTCTGCTTAACCCAACACTAAAATAAGCTATGACATGTAAGATAATGCATTTGAAGTGGATTGTAATGAATGTACCTTTCAGTAATGTTTAATGGTCTATTTGTCTCTTGGAGGATACGCAAAAAGATGCTACACAGGTTGATACTAATCTGCCTTGACATTATCAACAAAGCAGAAAGTTCCCAACCCCCCCCAAATAGACAAAAGAAACCCCTACAAAACTATAATCATCACTTTTGAATATCAAATGGACACTTCCAATAATCATTTCCAAGTTGAGCTCCTATTTGGCTTTAGGGGTTCTGAAGCCCACATTATGCATTTAATGGGGTGTGACGCATACTTAAGTGTCATTACATTTTTTCTTGTTTATGTCACTTTCAATCAGCTGAAGTCTTTTTCTACATATTCTTAAAATGCTCTTGGCTTTTAAAAATTCATAATTGACCTTTTCCAAACCCGGAATGAAAAAAGGGCTCTAAACAAGAGAGCAGAAAATGAGAAATTTGCAAGTTAATCAAATTAAAATTCAACATGAGTTTTAATTAGACCTTCTCAATGTAACTCAGCAGTTTTAAATGTTAGCGTATTAGTCTTTCCACACAAAAATGCTGTGTAAGTCAAGCTAATAAATAAATACAGAAAATACACATAAAACACTGGAACATATGAATTAACTGAAATTAAGAGAATGCGATAGGAGTAGTAAAATTTGGAAAGCAAAGCTGTATGTCTTACATGTGGTTTCTTCCTGTGGGCAACTTCACCCGCACATCCTTTAAACTCATAAAAAGTGTTTTAACATTACTATTCCAGTGGCTGATGTGTTTTCAAAGAAGCTATATCCTGCAGCAAATGCAGCTCATATATTCGAGTTTTATTTCTATTTAGGACCAACACAAGTCTTTCCACTGAAATACTAATAGCTTTATGGAGTAAGCATATTAAACAAGTCCATTACATTCCACAAATAAAAATCCTTTTTTTTTTTTTTAATACAGGAAAGGTTCAAACAAGGTGTTGTTCTGCTCAGCAGACTCATTTCAATGAGTCACTCAAGACTGTGGAATGGGCAGCTTCTGCTTACCATGTTTTCATTTTCTGTTTTCATTGTTGGTTGCTTCTTGTGACATATTGCATTCTGCATCCTTCAGGAATGGGACTGTCTTTATAATATATTCTGTTTATACAGTGCGTAGCTGATCAAAGCAGAAGGTTTTAAGTGCAGCAGTGATAATAACCACAATAAATGTAATAGGATTTAAGACTCCTAAGTCTCTAGGTGAACTAGATTCTTAGTAAAAATATTACTGCAGACCTTACTTGGTTTTCACATCAAGAAAGGATGATATGCTACCCAATCCTAGATGTAATGAAACAAAAACAATAAAAAAGACTGTGAAATAACTATATTGTATCTCAGTTCTTTGGTACCTGAGACTTACTTTATTGGTCAATTCCTTGACTATATCAAACAGGACTTTTTGCTCTTTAAAATATAAAAATCCCCCAGATACAGTCAACTGCATCCAGGACACAGTTCTGTCATTGTTCTCAGGGTAAGGGTTGCAGGTACCATTCTGCAATTCCCCTGACTGTATGGTTTTCAGGGCCAGTTCACCCAGCTCTCTGGGGTTGGACCTACAATCCATCTGCTCTTCATCTAGGTGTAATGATATATGTGATATGCCCTTGATATGCAAAGACAAATCTGTTTTGTCCTGGGGATGCAGTGATAGAAACCCAGCTTTTCTGACACATGGAATGGTTTATTTACCAAGTATATCCAATATTCAGGGAAATTAAGACAAAATGAAACCTCTGCCCATTCCACTGTATCTAAGTCTCACATTCCTCCCATACCTCTAAGCTTTATTTAGGTTTGCATCACTCTGCTGTTTCTTTTCAGGGTGTAAAATATTTGTGTCAAGCCCTAACATACTGTGAGTCTTCCTATGGTAGATGAAACATTCTCTTTCCTGGCCCTCTTAATTGACTACTCAAAGCATTGCTGCCTTTTGGTGTTCAGATTCTCAGCTCTACAAATCATCTTCCAGAAGTCACTATTCCAGTTACCAGCTTTTGCTACAGTGTTTGAGTGTTTGTGTGGAGGACACTTTTCATTTAGTCCATTATTTCACTTTTAACTCTTATCCAAAGAAATTGCAGACCTGTGCAAAACAGTCATGAAAATCATTCTTGGTTCCCTACTGGTTCCCTGCTGGAAAATCTTAAGGCTTTTCTTTAAGCTCTCTTTCTAGTCAAATATATTTTCATGATGTTGTTTGCCCCCCAAATTCTATTCTGATATGGGTTTTGTTTCAGTTTTTTTTCTTTACTTAAAGCCTATTTAGTAAAAGCTAAACATTCATCAGAGGGTGGCATAATCCTGAGTGTTAACAAATTTCACTTCTCTAGCACCTGTGACCCCTGAAGCACTCATCAGCTTAATTTCCAATCCCCATGCACAAGCTAAGGTCGCAAATCACAATGACTCGAGTTTATCATGATGTAATTACCCTGGTAAAATTACATTGACTCAGTAACAAATGTCTTCAATTACAATTAAATTATAGGGACTACTCGGTAGCTTAAACAGATCTTCTTGACAGGTTTGCACACTGGGAAACATGACTAATGTAAGATTTCTCTAGATACAGCACATGGTGCCCTGATAGGTTTTTTTTTTTTGTTTTAATTTGCTGACTACTCCCACGGTTTCAGCATATTCCAAACCTGCAAGGCCTTCTCCTACAGCACTAGCTGGAGCAAACAGCTGATTCAAGGCATCACATAAACCTGAGGAAGATCATTCAATAAAGTCAGTGCTTTTCAAATAGGTGAAAAACCTTTAAACACTTAGGTCAGCTTACTCCTGTCCTTTCTTAAGTGACCCTGAAGATTTGAAATCACTGCATTTGCTTTCCAAGGCATAGCTTTTTATTTGCAGCTATTCAGACACTTAATGCAGAGCGTGTGTTCTCTACTCACCCTTGCACTCTGGCCAGCAATAAGCTGGTCATCTTCAGTCTGAACACTTGTTCGGCTGCGAACATCATAATCTTCCTGCTCAAAGTCTGAATCATCCTCTAGCTCTTCAGGGGTCTAGAGAGCGGGAAACAGGGAGAGAAAGCACAAGAGAGGAGATGACAAACTTATAAAGGATGCAGACAAAGTCCTATGTACAGTAAGCTCTTATTTCATCGACTACCTGCCCAGGAAATGCTGTTTCTCTTTCCTTTGAAATTAACTTGTCTGCCCCGGCAGTCAAGAACTGAAATTGAATTGTCTTAAAAATTAAGTTGTTTCAACCCTAGTTTTCTTTACAAATGGCATTTATCATTACCTTGCTGCAACTTCCCTTAACTCTCTTACCATGATGAATGCAGTTCCAGGAACAAATATCCTTTGGAAACACTAACAACCAGAATGCAGTACTTAAAAATAATGCTATTTCATATATAAATGGACACTTATGCTATTATATTACTGGAATCTCCATGTAATCTTCAAAAAAGAAAGTAAATACCTGGGAAAAAGTAACTAACATCCTGGAATAAAAAGCTATCAAAGGAAAGATGAGATTTGCCCTTCATAGAAAACATAAATTATGAAAAAATGTGAAGTTTGTAGTCTGCTTTATCTTGTAGGTTCACATGGTTCTTTTCAGATACAGAGCTTTGGAATTTGCCTTATCCCATAAGCTGAAACCACATTTTCTCCATTGCTACAGATGGTGTGAGGGTCTCAGGGCAGATTGATCAAATCTAGTTACATGTATGTTGGCTTCAGGTTGTTTAAAAGGTTTGAGGGAGGGAGATAAAAAGGTATCCGATGGATCCATTTTCTTTTTTTTCCACTTTCTAGCAAAAAAATTAGGAGCAAAAAAAAAAAATTCCTTATATATATATACAGAGAGACAGTCTACTTTAAATCACTATTTAGTATTATATTTAATACAGACAGTGCCAAACCAGAAATAGTCTTTAGAAGGAAGATTGTTTTCTATTTTGTGCTTGAATAGCATCTAGTACAACAATCTGGCCACAAGTAACTTTTATAGGTACAATTCAGGATAGTGGTAATAGGAAAGTGGATGACAACAGCTGTGAAGAGAAATCCTCATCTTAGTTGGTACCCATCTGCCTCAGTGTTAACCTAGAGGGCCAACCATTACAGAAGAAATCATTCATGCTGGCATTTCATGCTTGGAGGCAACGTCAAGCTTGCTAGCAGAGGTGCTAATCATTGCCACTTGTCATTACAGCCCTGTCTTGAAGATGCTCAGTCACCAGGAACTGGTCCAAACCCTATAACATAATGCAAAGAAGTCTTTTGGTGACATTTATATTACAGACCAGTTTCCAATACGAAGTGCACATCACTGTAATGGAAAACCAGCTGCTTTGCTGGCTACATGGTGAAGTGCACATGATGGGGAGAGCAAAACACCACCATCTTCATTTGGTTTAAAGAGTATGAATTTGATGCTGAGCACCAGAGGAAGTATGACAGTAGGGTAATGAAACTCAGGCTGTGTCTGGGAAGAGATGCATATACAAATAGTGTACATAACACGATAGACAGGAGACGAAGTTTAGGCGAAACAATGAATTTGTCTTTTCTCTACAGCCACAGGAAAACAAAAAGAAAGAAAAAAAGAAAGATTGGTACCCATCACTCTTACGTTCAATGGTCTTGATTTCCAATCACCTTTAATCAATATATTCCCTCTGCTCATCTGCCTGAGCTCAGGATGTGACTTTAAAATCCTCCATAAGCAAACCAGCCACTAAGAGAATCCGAAAAGTCCCTGAGCAAAAGAGAGCATTTCCTGTCATAGGGCTCAGCTTTCCAGCTGCTTAGGCTTTATTGTGAAGAATAGGAACAGAGTGGAGAGTTTCAACCTGTTCTTCATAAACGAGCTAGCTTTTCCCCATCCTCCAAGTCCATTCAACTAGCTGTTCACAATGGTCATTGTAAAAACAGTACCCTTCCCTCTGTCATGTATACTCTTAGTTTCTTCTATGTCTACTTTTTAAAATAAGGCTGTAATGTTCAGCCTTTTCTCAGGCTTTCATAGGCAAGACTAGGAGTAAAGTAAGGGTGTATTTCTCAAAGTATTACATCTCAACACTATAACCAGTAAGTATTTCTTGAGGATGCCTCTAAAAAAGCTAAAATAGTCTGAAAATTCTATGTTTCACGGATTTATTCTTAAAGAAAGATTCAGAAAAAAAGTATTGCTGTTCCTGCCTGACATTCATAACCTTAAAATTTGTGTGGTCTTTAAAAGATGGAAACTGAATGGGTATAGATGTTAAACTTGGAGAAAATGTAGTCCAAACCAAAAGGACAAGTTAAAATAACTGTTAATAATATGCTACAAGCACAAGAAATCTCAGTATTTCCCCTCTGTACATGTGAGATCTAAAAACTAACTTTCAGATTCTTAAAGTTTTCAAGTGCGGTGAATTTAATGCCCTCTTTTTCTTCCAAAAATAGTTACATTTTTCATTAAGATGAAGGACAGAAGTTATCTCTATGCTGCCATTTCACACCTGTTGCATGCTTTTCACTCTTACAACATTGTTTTATCTGATCTCTTAGGAGATGCAGCCCATATTTAATATGGTCTCCTATTTGTTTAGGCACCAAGGTATAAAAAAGGACCATGGTCTTTAAAACCTAGTTTCCAAGACAACGAAGTCTGGAACTTAATTTATCTGAGTTGGAAGACCAAAGGACTGAATCAGTCTTGCAAGCACCTAAATCTATGGTCACTCAGACATAGGAAACGTGGATTTGAGACTGAAGACAGCTCCAAACAAAACTCTGACAACCACCACTGGCAGGAGGAGCTAGAGTAATTTTCAAAACTAATATATTTTATGAACTCATTGAGTCAACAGAAAATGGACCATTTTAATAACTTTTAGTCTGTCTGTTTGCAGCGCAGGCTCCAAGACTTTCCAGGACTGTTTTTTTTTTTCAAATACAGTATATCTACTACACATAGAGCATATTCTTCCCTTCATTCATCTCATTCAGATGTATTCTCCCAGTGAAGAAGAAACTTTCACAGTCTCAGATAAGCCACCCAGTAAATATATACTTTCTTTTTAAAGATGCAGACTTTATTTCTAACATGAATTTGGTGACTTTCAGATTTCAGTCACTGAAATATTTTAATTTTTATACTTAAAATATCTTTCTGTCTGCTCAAGATCTTGCTGTAGACAAAATGTCTCCAATTAATACAATTTTGTTTTGTCTTTTGAACTGGCAGTATAAAAATGTGAATTATGGATGTACAAGTCACAAAATGACAGATATATGTGGATTATAAATGCTATTTGTTTAATATTTTACCAATTCAGATATATTTGATGAAGAGAGAAACCCCACCATGCTATAGTGCTCTATGCACTTAAGAATTTCAGCATTGCAAACACCAAGTCAAACTAACGTTGTAATGAGAGGAAAGAAAGACTGAAAAGGCATTTCTCCACTTTTTACCATGAAAATACCTCTAATTCTAAATGCTAAGGAGAAAAAAAAAAAAAAGCCTTTATAATATGCTTTTCTATTCAACTCCATGCTACTCTGTACGTTTGTTTTTGCACAAAGGCAGTTGCAGCCTGAGTGACTCAGGGGCTGTGAGCAGCATCTCAGTGGCAAAGTCAGAGAACCTCCCTCACAGCAGGTCTTCATCTGTTTAATAACTTACAGTAAAATCTAACACTTTAAATTCAATCTGAGCAGCAACAAGCAGTTGTATACCATGAACCCTGTAACATCCTTTGGAGATAAGCTGTTTGTTAAAAATGTGATGGGATTGTGCACCGAGTGTAGTTTTCCAGAGAACCTGAGATGTAGCAGCACTCCGGATGTCACCACAGTGGCTACCCCACAGTTGATCACAGCTAAGCCTACATTCATTGAAGACCATTCATAGATGCAAAAAGTTGGGGCTGAGGACCCCACATTTTCACTACCCTCATTTTAGTATATAAACTGGGGGGAGTTACCCGGATCACCTAGATGGCTGCTCGGGTCGGGCTGGGTATCAGTTGGTGGGTGGTGAGTAGTTGTGTCCTCTCCCCTTGTTATTCCTCTTATCATTATTATTGGTAGCAGTAGTGGTTTGTATTATACCTTAGTTACTGGAGAGCTGTTATCTCAACTCGTGGGAGTTACATTCCTTCGATTCTCCTCCCCATCCCTCTGGGAGTGGGGGGAGGAAAGAAGAGGGGGGGAGTGAACGAGCGGCTGCATGGTTCCAAGTTACCGGCTGGGCTTGAACCATGACAGTACACTTGCTGTAGTCTTCTCCCATGGACTGAAAGTCCCTTAATGATATAAGTGGAACATTTAAGATGCTTTTAAATCACTTCTTCCAGGATCACCCCAAAGAATCAAGTTTATATGCTCTAACACAAACTAAAACAAAGCAAGAAGGAACAACTGGAAATTTGTTCCAAAAGTGCACCCTTGATCCAACCAAATGTAACATTAAGGCTAATCCAGATGCAAGTAATGGCAAAGCCACCAATAGCAAAGGCTGTGTGTGAAAAGAAAACTGACCTTAGAGATACATAAGAATGAGAAAGGGTGTCATTGTGATTCTTCCTAATGGTAGAAAGAGTTTCAGTCTAATAACTGAATATCATAAGTAGCTATGAAAAAAACAAAGTGTAATCTGATCCCTAAGCAGTAATAGAAAAGACGGTGGAACTAAGTTATTTTATCTCTTATTTTTAGGTTCTATAATTATACTCCTAAATTTACTTCTACTACTTCTTAACCTGCGAAAGAGATTTTTTCTTCTGTATAGATCATAATAATAGCTCTCAATGTAAAAATGAGTCTCCTTTCTCCTCCAAAGACACAATAAAATATCCCCTTTTCAAAGGAAAACAGAGATTATCCCCCTCTTATTCAGCTTCCTACCAACAAAAATTAATTTAAAAAGGAGCTTTATTTCCTCTATGGAATGAGGGAATCATCTCAGATAAATTCAATGTTTCGTGTCATGCACATGAAAAATTACTGCCTGAAAATGATTTTTTGTGGCAGATGCTCTAAAAAGTTTGGAAGTGGAGTTCCCCCCCCCCATTAAACTTGAACTCACAGAAATACTTCCCCCCCCCCCCCTTTTTTTTTAATTCAGCAGAATTTTTACAGTCTGAATTAAAGGTGATAGATTATTAGAAAAAAAGTATTCTAACCACACTCTTTTATAGCTTAACACCCTCACCCTTAAATTATACATTGCATTTCAACGTGAGATGTTCAGACGGGAATGCTAAGAAGTGTCTCGAAATGAATTTTGTTTTCTACACAAAATAAGGTCCTGATTCAGCAAACTGTGGTCTGCGTAAGTTCATATATGTGTATTTTCCCAGTTAACTCACAAGGGTAATGAGTCCCTTTATGTGCTTTGGTTCTCTGCCTGGGTAAGGAGTACTACTTCTAGCTCCATAAATAGATTAATTGTCAGAATGCAAAAATACATCTTTCTAATCTGGGTAAGCGGAATTCATTAACTCATATCATACAAGGAGTGGGAAACAGTAGTGATACAGTGGCAAATGCAACCCAGGATGTTTCTAAGGAGCCTGCGAAGCCTGCATGCCAATCAGCTTTCCAGCGAGTAGTTAATGTAACATAAGACAGCAGTGAAATAGGTGAACGTGGCTCCAGAACTTAAAATGGTGCTTTGTGCTTAGCAGGAACATCTCACCCAGTATGGACCTCTGATAGCAACGTCTCTGGAACAACTCTGATGTACAGAGAGGTGCTAGAAGGCAGAACTCTTTGAATGGAAAGCATGAATCTATAGCAGATCCCGTCTGATAACTGTGTCTCAAGAAGCAATTTAGAATGACTCATGAGAGTCATGAGAGACTATAAAAGGCTAAAATGTACTTAGAAGTGGTTCTTGTCCTAAAAAAAGTTTGGAAACTGCTGTTATGGGCTACGGAAATGGATAATCAAAGGAAAAATGGGGATCCTTTACCACGCAGATCTTTTCTTTCCATCCCAGAGCAGAACTGTTGCAAATATCCCTAATGTTGCACACCCAGGAAACAGGAGGCGTTTGCTCCCATCATCAGTCATGACTATAGTTCAGGCTACCTGAGATTAGCACTGGGTACAGGAATGGAATTTATGTTTCACAGTTATAAAATGAAGCCTGTCAAGAGCTTTTTCTGTAAAGGTTAATACATAGTGGCAGATGACTTAAATGGAGGTATTGTGGAGTGCTCCAACTGCCTGAATTACTACATCAGTGCCATAATATACTCACAACAAGAAGTGTATGTTACCTGTCTGCTCAAAGGGATGGGTTGTCTTAGCACTGTTATTTACTTCTTAAGTTTCCTCTGTAATTTTCACTGTAGGTTTATTTGCACGTGGCTTTCACTGGGGCAGACTCAAGGTAACTTGGGTTTCAAATAAGAGTTTCAATTACAAAATGGGTAGAATCTCAGACTGGTTGGGGTTGGAAGGGAGCTTAAAGCTCTTCCAGCTCCAACCCCCTGCCACGGGCAGGGATATCTTCCACTAGAGCAGGTTGCTCCAAGCCCCATTCAGCCTGCCCTTGAACACTGCCAGGGATGGGGCAGCCACAGCTTCTCTGGGCACCCTGTGCCAGCACCTCAGCACCTTCACAGGGAAGAACTTCTGCCTAAGAGCTCATCTCAACCTCCCCTCTGGCAGGTTAAAGCTATTCCCCTTATCCTATTACTTGTGCTCTTTTAGAAAGTCCCGCTCCAGCTTTCATGCCCCAGAGGCATCACATATGTTCAAACTGGGCTTTTATTTTGTTGTTGTTTTTGTTTTTTTCTTCTTTAATCTTTGACTGTAGACTACACTGAAAAGCAAGACACATCTACCCTCACAATAATTATGGGGATTTTGGGATCTTTTTCTTATTAATTCTGAATGGGTTTTTTTTTAGGAGATGCCTAAGCAAATTGAAACAACTGATTAGTCAACACTGAAACGACACATTCGTTACCTCAGCAGACATTCAAACCACCCCTGCAGAGGCTCAATGGAGCAGCAAGATCATTTCTTTATTCATTTAGTTTTTAAGCAGACTTACCTCATATCCTAGGTGGCACACATACATTAGGAAAAAAACTCCCAGAACAACAAAAATCTACACAAATTTGAAGATCTTAGCAAATTATTGCTATCACTATGGAAACAGTAATGAAGTTTGCATCTATTGGCAGTTGTGATCAAATCTTCTCTTAGGTAATTAACAAATTAATTGTGGTTCATCTCCTAAAATATCTTCACCTCTTTCCTTACAAATTCCTTTCTGCTGCACATACTTTTGTTTCATGCTTGTTTCACTATCAAGACTGTCTGGCTTATTATGAAAAGAAGTTGATTCCAAGAAGCCTTTATATTACTCTCATCCAATGAGATACTTTCCTGTAAGTCCCAACTCTTCTTTCCCAGGTGCCTTACATACCCTTATCATCAGAACAGCTTTCCTGATGTCACGAACTCCATCATAAACCAAGCGGGAGGCATCTATGAACTCATTCTCTTCAAATGGCTGTGGGACATTCGCACTCAAGGCTTCAATGGCAACCTCAACTTGTTCAGCAAAACGTGGCATAACTAGATTAAACAAAATGAAAGGCAGGAAGATTAGACACCTTCTTTGGTGAGCATTTTTCCTCTGCCCTTGGGCATAAATATTTTCCAGTAGACATGGTACATACTGTTGTTACAGTTTCAAGACCTAGGAAGGCTCATGGCATGGATTTGTACTGACTCTGCACATGCAGAGCTCTGGCACAGTTTCTGACAGCATGAAAATAGCAATCTTTATATTCTATCCTCCCATTGCACAACAAAGAATGTAAAACTTCCTTTAAAAAGCATGATTTACTAAGACTGTAAGATATCTGAGCTATCAGTAAAGTACATTTAAAACTGTTACAGCTAGGAATCTTGTTTATTATGTCTGTGTATACACACACATACATATATATGTTTGTTCACATACACAGATGAAAGAACAGATCTGTATCATTCGTGCAGATAATGCTCAATAAGTGCTAGGGATATACTGGAGAAAACATGGAAAAGTGACAGCAACAATAGATATGAAAAAATAAACATTAACAAAACATTGCTAGGCAGAGGGGAAACACTAATTAGAAAAGAAGTTTGAGAGAGCTGTAAGTTTTAGAAAGAGTATTAAATGCATGTAACAAATTATCTTAATTAAGGGAACACTTGAAAGTGTAGTAGGAGACTAGTATGATTGCATAAGAAAGTCTTTATCTTGAAAGTCAAAAAGCAGTCATTAAAATATAATGAAAATAAGTAAACATAAAGAATAAAAGAAGACTTATTTAGGGTCATAGGGATAAAATAAGCAAAGCCAGAAATGCAAAAATGACAACAAAAAAGGAGGCAAAGAACTCCAATATTTAGGGTCCTTAAATTTCTGTCTAAAAATTTCTAACTAGCAGAGGTATTCAAGTATTTAATATAATTAATAGTAAGTGCAACAGATCTGAATTAGGAAACAGCAGTTTGGAGAACATCTACATAAACATGAAGAAATGTATCTATTAAATACATTTTCAAGTTAACAGAGCATCCTAAAATGTACCCTGCAGTTCTTAAGAAAGTAATCAAAGCAATTTATGAAACATCTTGGAGAACTTAAGAAAAACAATAATGGTGAAAGTTGCAAGGATTTAGAAAAAGAAAAAAAAGCACATACCTATTTATATAAAGACACAGAAGAAAAAAGAAGGAAGAATTACAGGATATTCAGCCTAAGTTCAGTACCCAGAAAGAAAATGAAACATGACGTAAAGAAATTAATGTGTAATTATCCTCTAAATGATAACCAGATGTCAGACAAGCACAGATTTTTGTCAAGATAGGTTGTGTCAAGCCCTTACATTATTTTCCTTGGCATGGCAACTAACTAGTGGGTTGGGGGAAGCACTGAATATAATAGAGCTTGACTTTGTAAGATTTTTGACGTGGCCACACATGACAATTCTTAGAAGCAAAACAAGGGAAATGTAAATTAAATTACTCTAGGGTGGACATGGAAGTCATGACAAAAAGCATCTGAAGGAACAATTACCTGTGGTACGCTGTCAAACCAGAAAGGTATGTCAAGTGGGTTCTTGTAATGTGTCTAATAATATGATGATATTATAGAAAATGGCAAAGGTCTATCTAGACTTATTACAATGTATTGAAGAAAAAAGACTTGAGGGAATATACTGTGAAGCTCCACAGTGAGGCCCTAGTTGGAGCTCTATGCCCAGTTTTTAAGTACCCAACCAAGATTTTTGTAGCTTGTGTACAAGAAAGATGTGAAAATTAAAAAAGCTGTATTTTGTGGTTGTATCCAGACATATATTTCTATGTTCCAATAACATAATTTAGTCCCAAAACCATAATATACTATACTTTTATCTAGAAGCTATTTCTGAATCATATTAAAATACTCAAATGAAGGAAATTCCACAAACTCCTCACAAAAATTATCCACAGCCTGATAGAGTTCACTGCTCATTTTTTCCCCCTAAAAGGATGATAAAGGTGCCTATTTCAGCTGACCATTGCATTTCATTTCTCTGCTTCTAATATATATTGAAAAATACATAAATAATATATGTATAAATTATATGTCTAAATCAGAGAATCACAGAATGGTTTGGGTTGGAAAGGACCTTAAAGCTCATCCAGTTCCAACCCCCTGCCACAGGCAGGGACACCTTCCACTAGACCAGGTTGCTCCATGCCCCATCCAGTCTGGCCTTGAACACTGCCAGGGACCGGACACACCGCACAGCTTGGTGTTGGTGGTAAACTTGCTGAGGGTGCACTCAATCCCTGTACTCTGCCACTGAAGAGATGTCAACAGTCATGACTCTATTCGTTCATTCAAGAAGCAGCAATAGTAAATTCATAAGCATGAGGCCCTTGGGAGATGGAAAGTTACATTTTATTCATTTTGGTGAACATGAGGTACATGAGCTACTCATTCTTGACCACCTGTGTTACCACAGTGTCTGCCCACCGGGTTTGGAAGCTTCTTTCAATAATTTTGACCTTGCAGACCTGGCTACAATCTAGTCCTTAATTTACATTATTACAGTTGAATGTTATTTGCTGTTTCGAAATGGAAATTGCTATTAAACCATATTACGAATTGATTGCTTGCCAATTGCATTTTTACATCACTGGGAAACATTTTTGATTAGACAAGCAAGAAAAAACATCTTAAACTAATAAGATGCTATTACTTATGGCTTCTCTAAGCATACGTTGTCATTTAATGCAGTAAAGATTTTGGAAATTGAGTTAAGAACTCTATTATTCTCCAGTTAACATTATTGGGCCACGCTTGAGAAGCTCCATGACAGTGATGTATGGAGAAATACCTCAGTTGCACTCAAGAACTTTCCAGTCCTCCTTATCTGTCATTTACTAGACAAAGAAGGATATTCTTACGCCAATAGTGAAAAAGCTACAAGTAAAATTCGGGCAAAGGCATAAACCCTGTATCTGGAGTTGAAACTTGTAAATGCATCAGAGGTTGATTCATTAATTATGTACAGAGATTGGCTACAGATTTCAGATTCAGGAGCAAATCAGCACTTTGGGTGAAAAATTTACCATACAGTGGACTGAAAAACGTGATCCATTAACATCTCTGAGCCTAACCACATGAATTCATTAGGCACCTGCATAAATGTTGACAGAATCAGGTCTCAAGTTAATAGCAACACTTCTAAGTTACTGACTTTGTCATTCTAACAAATGAAGATTTTAAAGCCTTCCTGTAGATGAGTTTTCAATAGCATTGAAAGCAAGATCACTGACAACAAAATCTAGGTTGAATGGCTGCTGGAGAAAAAATGGGAAACAACAAAATTAAGAGTACTTCCATTACATCTATTGATTATTTTTATTTTACCAGCATAATAGAAAAGTAACGCATCACTATGGGTGAACTCATGCCTTGATACAACCTGTGTTTTCTTGTGAACCACCCTGCTCCACACAGATTTTCACTAAACCTTTTCTAGTTTTTCTCTCACCTTATCCATATGTTTTAGAAGTATTATGTAATCATCTATTTTCTAAATATATATTTTCTATTGGTTTTTTCTCCTATGGTAATCAGTTTGTAGTGGAATGTTTGTACTTGAAAACAGAGCTGCGTATTTGGTTTAGTGATATGAGAGCAGTAAGATCACTGAGAAGGGAGAAGTTAGGTTACACAATAAAATTATTGAGATAAAAACATTAAAAATGTCATTGTTCACAGCATTAATTGTTCATAGTTTCATTAATATGCAAGATTAAATGAATGCCTAGGTGATTTAATGCACTTTTATGGCCTTATTATTTAGGAACTTGAATTCCTCAGAATCTTAAGCAGATGTGAATGTTCAGAAATGTAGAAAGGGATAATTAAGACACAAAAGAACAATGAAGGTTAAAGTCCCTGTAGGTGCACGGGTTTCTGATTCTTAGTGGTATCAACAGGAGTTAGGAAAGTTGGCCTGGTTTCATCCTACTTCATATATCTTGAAAGTTAGAAATTTATGTCTTCTTATACCAAATGGAGAGCAATATATGTTTCCATTACACAATTCATCACACCTACTTTAAGAAAGCAGTTCAAGTTCAGCTGAACCAAATTCTGATACTGCTCTGCCTTTTGAACTGAGAGGGAGGACAGATGGCTTAGACTAGATGTCTGCTTTAGATAACCAAATTCAGGCATAAATGAATCCTATTCTTGCACCAAATCCTCGAACACTTTTGTGTCGAAACCAGAAGGGTGCCCAGGAGGGTACCAGCTGAGCAAGAAGTGGCTACTTTCCATTTAAATCTCATGGGAAATGAAGGGTTCCCAAAGGTCTCATCTTTGAGGCACTTTTCTAGCCAGAAGACTATTTTTGAACAGTATCAGCAGAGCTAACTTCTTAGAGCTTCATTTTAAAGAGACAAGCACCTGCTCAACTCTTTCTAGTATCCAGGGGTTTGGATTCAAGGGAATCAACCTTCTCAAAGACCACAGGTTGTTCTCTCAAGCCAGATGCTTGAGCTCCAGAGAAGTGACTGACCTCATATACTCCAGCTTACTCAGCCTACCTCTTGGTAGCTCTGTATTCAGTTAAACATTTGTAGTTGTCCTTCAGAAAGTTGATTTTCCCTATGTCATGTTCATGGAAACTAGACACAGAATTTTAGGTGTCAATCACCTGGTCAAAACAGCCTTTAAGTGGCTGTAAAAATCTGGTCTAATTTGGGTAATATTATTCAAGAATGACATGACAGTCTAAAGGTTTGGACCTCTACACTGCTGAAAGTTGAAAGAAGGATCCTTGAAAGCTATAAGCTCTAGCTTAAAAATGTCAGAGTTCTGGATGAAATTTATTCTCTTTTTTAAATTACTTTTTTGTATTAATCCATTAATTAACTGAGGAAAGAACACTGTCTACTGGGTAGTTTAGGTATTTTAAACAGGTGCTCAAAAAATAATTCCTATGGGATATCTGACATACTCTGCCAAATTTCTCAATTTAATTTGAAGGATGAATAAAGAATCAAACATGACACCTTAT